ATCACATTGTGTAAATTTCCAAAAAGTTATATGGTATGTGATGTGCACAGGAAATATTCACTCTTAACCTGTTCATTAAAGCAGACTGAATTCCCAGAAAAAATGTCCCATCAACACTTCAGTTCACACATGGGTCTCGATCTGAATCCAAACTCTCTAACTAGCCTTTACCTTGAGAACAGGCCAAACCTTTATTCAGGTATTTCCACATTTTCTGAGCAGCACAAATCCCACACTGAGGCGTGTGACTCTCGCAATATAACGCTCACAGTACAGTGCTGCAATGTTGAAGACGTGTACAAGAACAGTGAAGGAGGGGGGTTATTACTGCACTTCTACTGATCAGACTTGCACAGACCTACCTGCAGAGGGACCGCACCAGCAGAAACACCGTATGAGACACAGGCTTCAAAGCATCCTTAAGCTCTAACAAAATTTCATCCAGGGAGCTATAAACACCCTTTCCCTTTTCTCTTCCTCCTCCTTTTTGAGCCCATCTGGCTAATAGGTCAGAAGTGAGGACACCTGTGCATGATGCATTGAAACTGGGAGATTATTTGCTAACTGTGGAGGTTTAGTTCCCATATGAAGCACCTGCTGCTGGCCCTGGTTCACGTGGGAGCTGAACCTACTGCCGGTGGCCCCCGATTCACCTTCTCATTATTTGTTTTATTAGCTTCACTAGAGGGGTATGCAAGGAGCACGGCCTGTCTGCCTCCCACACCGGGCTTTTTGGGAGCTAGCGCTCCTCTCCTCCTCCAGGATGGCTCTTGCTGCAGGCTTGCTAAGCTCCTACTGCGGCCTCAGAGTGGCACCTAGTGCTCAGCTGCTGCACTGCTCTTCAGCAACACCCCTCAGCTCTCACACAAATTGTCCACCTGCTGCCCAAAAGCCAGGGTCAAGGACTGTTCTGTACAACAAGCAGAAGAACTGGGCTATCTCAGGGAAATTAGTGTACCGTTCTCATCAACTGCGGGATAAACTGATTCCACGGGGAGCAATTAGGAGTACGGTAAATTTTGAAGTGGATAAGTTTATCTTTCCAGTTCACCAAACAGTGATATTTAAAGAGGGTAATTCCTATACAGCCCAAACTAGAAAATGGCAGCTTCTACTTAACAACATTCATCCTCCGCCACTGTAGAGTTTTACCAATATATACCTATGGAAACTGTCATGAAATTACAGAGCATTTCTTTGAGAGCTGTGCCTGTTCTCAGATGCTGCAACTTCTTCCATTGCTGCTTACAACTCTGTCTCCTAAAACTAATTTTTTTTAACTCATTTTCCTCTTCTGATCAGACATTTATTATGCAAATTCAACTAGTTAAGTATTCACATTTTGCAGTTCTTAAAATTACTCTGGGGTAAGGAAACCCTTCACACTTGGATTCTGGCTGAACAAGCTGCTACAAAATATAGAACACAAAAATGACTTCCACATATGAATGCAACAGAAGAACAACTCTTGTCAGTATTTTATCTATAATACATGTGGCAAACGAGTAAGCTTTCAATAAATGACATGTAAACCCATTTAGTCTGGCCTGGCAAAGTGTCCAGTATCCACTCTGTCATAGGACTGAGAAGCATTCTAGAGACAGAAGGTCCATTGTGGCAGGAGGGCCTGCATTCACAGATAAAAGGCAAGGAGTCACAACAGACTTGATGCTGCAAAGGTCAGTTGCTTCAGAACAATGTAACATCCATTGTTAACAGACCGTTGTTCGTGATAACAACACTACTAAGAAAGCCCTGCATTACACTTGCAAATAACAAAACAAAACAAAACAAAAAAAAGCATCCAACTGTTCTGTGAAGTCATACGCAGTGACTAAGAATCCGTCACTGAGCTCTGACTCGCTACACCTACAAGAAGCTCAGAAAAGCTGCCTTAGAACACCAGGTCACTGTGCCCAAATATTCAGCAGTCTAAAGGCTCCTCCAAGCTGTGACATCATTTGACATTTTTACTTGGGCAGTTCTTGTTTGACTTTTTGCTGTAACCAACCAACAATTTCAGAATTACTTTTTTTCACTGGCTTAAGTACATCACCATCCAGTATTACAGCACCGAGGGCCTTTTGAAGAACAAAAGCCTCCATCTCTTTTTAGGGCTTTTTAGTTTCATCTTTTTAACAGTCCTTTAAAACTGGTCAGATTAATGGAGCAGCTCCAGAAACACATCCTCATCCCTTTACAGACCTAAGTGTGTTATAACCAAACATTAAAAAAAGACTTTGTTTTTTCACATCCTCAAAATGCTCCAAAGTAGCACACTTGTTGGTGCAGGATGAGTCAGGGAACCTAAATTCTTGTCTCCTCTTTGCAGCTCTGTTGCAGACACATACTGAGATTTTTGGAAATAAATGTCATCTTTCTGTGCTCCAGCCTACTGTATGTAAAATATGTGAAGCACAAATGAGCTCTCTGACAGAAAGATGACAGACAAATTATTCATTTACTTATTATTCACTTACTGCGCTCTTTATTTTTAGATAAATTACCCATTTCTGTCACTTAAAGGTTTTTATACCTGTGAATGAAACAGATTCATTTGTCGCAGACAACCTCAGAATTGTCTGTTACAAGACCTTCGTAATTGCAGAAATGTACATGTCGCAGTAAGAGGAGACAAGGGTAACAACAAAATGTATGCATATATATATATATATATGTTGTGTGTGTGTATATATATATATATATATATATATTTACATAGAACTTTCCTGCTATCAATGAAGAATAAAGACAAAAAGGCTCTAATAAATATAATTGTAACCTTGAAATGCAGGCTTATTCACCTGTGAGACTCTGAAATTGAGTGGCAGAAATAAACATCTCTTGGATTTCAAATTAAGCACATTTGTTATCAACTGAGAAGTAAATGTGAGAAAATGGCAATTGCATTTGCGAAGTTTACTTACTCTCCCCCCAGCTGTCTGCCTTCTGCTGCACATCCACCAGAGGGCTTCAGGACCCCATTCTTGCTTAAGGAAAACGGCAGTGCCTCGGCGTGCCTGTAAAAGTGGAATGGAGAGTTGGAGTCTCCTTTGGTTGGAGCAAGAAGTCGGGCTGAGGTCTGCGCTTTCAAAGGGATGTGCAGAGGTTTTCCCCACATAAGGTTCTTTAAATTTATGTAATGATGCGGGAATTAACATTCATTGCTGAACACATTTTTTTTTTTTGAAGCGACATTTGTTCTCAAAATACACTTATTCTAAATTGCAGAAGTGAACATGAGCAGAAGACTGAAGACAGATCATAATTAAAACCTAGTTTGGTTTGGTAAGTACAAAAGTAGTGGACAAAGCTCAATCTACGCACTGATACTCTTGGCCCACCAAAGGGAAGAGAAAATATTTTCAACAGTCTCAAAGACACATACAAATGTATGATGGAACTAACTAAAAATATTTTTTTTAAAGCCACAATATCAAGAAATGCACCCCCAAAATAAACTCTTTTCTTCACATTAAGCTCTGTCAGCAAAGCCTTTTAAAACCAGACAAGACAAAGAACGCAGAACACCACTGTAGGGAATAGGTTTGCATAAAGCAGGGGGCAACAACAGGTGCATAGAACACATTCTTTGTTGTAATCTCAATTCAGGTATCAAAGAGAAGCATACGTAACAGTCAAAATTACTCAAATACACGTTTTGTCCACCCTTACACCAAAATACCACAAAACCAACTTATTTCAAGTATATTAGACAACAAGGAGATAGTAATGATCTGCAGAAGGAACAATTTTCCTCTAGCCCAATTAAAAACACATGCATTATTCATTGTGTTTGTGAACGAATATGAATTCCATCACAGAACAAGATGGCACCTTCACCTGCCTGGCTTACAGCAGCCCATGGCTGAGGAGAAGGGCTCTCCGAGCACATTATCCTGCCCTGCTGCTCCCTTCCATCTGGACCCTCTACAAGGCTGTGTTTTGTGTGTTTACGTGAGGAGCCCCTTACAGAGCTTTTATTGATTTCTAGGTCCAAAAGTCCTCTGACTTCACTTCTGCATTAGGGAGCTATTAGAAGCTACATTTGTTCCAGTGTTTATTACCAGTATTACAAGTCCAAGCAAGGCCAGGAAAGTGCAAAGCAGAGCGACACAGAACTAAAGAATCCTAAAATCCTGCCCACAAATAAGGGTGCTGTGAAAAGTCAGCAGAACCTCACGTGCCATCCTTACCATGCATTAGCTGGGGCAGTCCTGCTCTACAGAGCTTAGTTCCGACAACAGCACCGCAGTTCGTATTCACTTTAAGAACGCTGCTTTCTAAGGGCTTTACATACATTACTTCATTTTCCTTGAAAACTGCCCTTCTGCTTCCCCGCGCCGCCAGCAGCTCTGAGCACCCGCCCGCCCAGCAGCAGCAGCCTCGTTCTCAGCATGGCCTCACACAGCAAAGACACGACTTAGAACTGGACACAGACATCTGGCGTGTGTTCAGGGGATTTTATAACCACTTCACTAAACACAAGTCGCAGAGCAGAAGAAAAGCAACGTAGAGTAGCCGGATAATTGCAGCAAAAACAGAAGCGGAACCCAAAGACGCAGAACACTGGTGGCTGACCACCGCTGCCCCGCGGCTCCTGCCCACAACCAAAATGGCGGCGCGGCGAGCGCGCCAGCACGACGACGCTCTGCCCCACCGCTCCCGCCTCTATGACTGGCGGCGCGTGCGCCCACGTGACGTTTTCAACCGCACTGCGCGGGACCTGCGCCGGCAGAGAGTGAGGCCGCGGGGGAGGGGGGGCGCGCGGCGATCAGGTGACCCCGGCCCGCAGCCCGCCTCCCGTCGGCGGCCGCGCGCTGCGGGGATTGGCGGGGGGTCGCGGGGCCGGCGGGGCCCTCGGGCGGCGCGGGGCCGGGCGGGGATGGGGCGGTCCCGGGGCGGCCCTGCAGAGGCGGCTCGGGCCGTGCGTTGTCGGAGGGACCCTGTGGCACCGCCGCTCCTGGGACCGGGGGTTGAGGGGTACGCGGGAAGCTCGGTGCGGTGCGTCTCTGGGCCGGGCGGAAATCCTCTGCAGCCCGTGTGAGACCAGCGCTGCACGCTGCCATGCGGTGAGCGGGCAGTGAGCGGCGATCGGGTCCCAGAGTCGCTCTGCCCGTGTGTCAGGTCCGGTGTTACGGCTCGGGATAAGCGGCGGCCGTGTGCCAGGAAAGAAGAAACGCGCCGTCCTCCCCACGCGGCTCACCGAGCTCTCCTTTCTCGCGAAGGCCTCCCGAGTTCGGGTCGCGGGATGGGCTGTCGGCCTCGTGCGCACCGCAGGGTCTGTAAGCGCTGGCTGTGAGCTGGGCCTCTGTGATACTGCTCAGGTAAGGGCCCGGGCGGGAGGTGTAATTTAGCAGCGGAGACTGAGTTACCGACAGCCTTGTTTTAATGTTACAGCACCAAGCAGTCAGTAGTGCTAACGTTTTCAGCGATCTCAGCCTGCTTTCCCACAGCAACCACACCGCAGATGTCCTTTCAGGGACGTCTTCGGCAAGAAAAACAAAAAATAGGTGTGCTGGAATTGGCTGTGAAGTGTTATTCAGCCTGGAAAGTTTGAAGCCAGCGGAGTTTCAGGCGGCACAGTAGTTGGGGGGAACGTAGCTGCAGCTTTGCCTCTTTCCCAAAGTTCCCAAAGTTTTTACCTAACGTTTTCTCAAATCTGCACTGGAAGCCTACAGCATGCACCTCTGTCCACTTGCAGCAACCCCAGCTCTTTGCTATGCAACTTTACAGTCTCATAGAAGTTGATACACATCCAAATGGCAGTTTCTCTTAGCTCAGAAACTTTTTCCTAAATTGAAGGTTATCTGTCATGTTAAAATCCAAAGTGGTTTCAATCATTCCCATCACACCACATTGACCATTTAAGAACAATTACAGAAATTTGAGCTTAAAGAGCCTTCAAAAATGATCTAGCTGACATGCAGACGTTTCAGATATTTGTCCTTTTTTTTTTTGAAGAAAAGTGGATTCACATGTGTTGTACAAAAGGAAGCCAATTTTTCTCAAATATAACTAAAAAAAACAGATGCTGTGCAAATCAAGCCCACATTACAACAAGTGCAGCGGGACCTTCATATTTGAGTCAGCTGCTGACTTTAGAAGGGATCTTAAAAGCTGCATTGCAATTATGGCTGGAAGTTTAAAACAGTACTGCTTCTTCAGTACAATTGTGCCCTTGGGAAAGCAGTTTCTCCTGCCTTTGGGTTTTAGATCTTGCAGCGCATTATAAACCACTCCTCCACAGAACTGCACAAAAGATAAGGCCTTCTAGTAAATCTCCCTCTTAACTATTACAGATCACCACTGAAAACAATGTGGCAATTGAAGGTATTTTATATAAGGTGCTTTGGTGTCCTAAATTCTAAACTCAGATACGTGCAGAGAGGAACATACGCCAGCACCAGTTTCTTCCCCAAATAATCCATTTTAAGATGTTTGTGGCCAAATTTTTAATCAGATCCCTCTATTTCAGTACCCACTAAATCTGAAAGGCCAGAGGACCATCAGAACTTGTCTTCCACAAACCTCATTTGGCCAAGACCATTGTGCATTACAGATCCCCAAAATGTTAAGTTTTGTAAGTCTGTTTACCAGGGAATAAAATCTCTCCCACTTGGTAGTATGTGATTAAATGCAAGTGCATTTGTCTCTCAGAAGGTTTGTTCCTGTGGTTTTATAGGAGCAGAAATGGATTCCCCAGGCAAAGGGCAATGGCTGACCCATGAAGAAATACTCACCTCACCTCCTTCTATCCTTCATTGTAAGACTGCTTTTATCATTAAAAGGTTTCCTTTCTTCATAGGCAGGCTAACGTTGGCAGCTTGGCTTCTCTGGATATGACCTTAAATCTTGAGTGTGCTGGTGGATGGATTTGTGTGAGATGCCAGAGAAAATTTATGCCCAGTGGTGAGAACCTGGTGCCTTCCTTGCTCTCGTAGACAGAAGGAAATGGCCTTTATTCAGATACAGCATAGTTAACTCTGCAGGAAATCATCTGAATATTTTCAGACACTTCAAAAGAGTATTTCTTATGGCTATTGGATTCAAGAGCAGCTAGTAGCTTCCTATCTCTACAACACCATTTCTAAATTATTTTTTGCTGTTTCTCTTGTCTCAGTCTGACGTTTGCCTTTGATTACGGAGATGAGTGACTTTACCTGTTCTATTGATCAGAATAAATTACCAGCAGCTAATTTATGAACCTCACAAAAGTGCCTCTGACATGGTGAATTGTACTCTGTTGTTCAGGTAATTGGGTTGTCAGAAAATCTTATTGGTTACTATATAGTATCTCTTACAGAATATTGGCTTATTCATGGAAATGGACAACATCTTTTAGATTTCAGTTCACCAGATGTTATGAAGACTGAGTAGGAAGGAAGGAAGCAAGCATTCTTCTTGACAGGACTGATAGTAGAGAAAGCATTTTTATTGCTATATGTTGATCTTCCACCTCTTATTTCTGTGAAAGGAAGGTTACTTTGCTTGGACTTGTTCAAGTATAAGTTTAGGAGACTTGGTCATTGCCAGCACTTGCAGATTCAGCTTCCAATTTGGAAAAAAACCCACACGCATAGGACAGTATTCTTGCCATCACTGAAATTCAGAATCTTACCACTGGTTTTTTAATGTCTGAGAAGGATGGAAGAAAGCTCACATTTTTTTCCAGGTACGCTGCAAAGATAACGAAGATCACCTAATTTCTGTCACAGCACTAGAGAACATGCAAAATACAAAAACAAGAAATGAGCAACAGGAAGATGCTTTAACACATGGTAGTTTTTACAGCCAACTGCCACACTTGCAGGCTGTCACATCTGCAACACTGAGAGAAGCGAGCAAAGGATTACAGCAGGGATGAAAGACAAAAGCAGCGCACAAGAGCTCACTTGGGCTCTTTGTATGAAGAGCTCCTACCTGAAAACATTTGTTTTCTTTAACTCCCATTTGTTAAATGGGAGTTCTCTAACTGAAGCTACAGGAGAGCAAGTACTTCTATGACGTAGCTTTTTTTTAAAACAGCAAACAGTCTTTTCCAGTGATGCCTTCCCTGGCTTTTCCTATGCACATGCTGAGTTTTAATATGTGTATGTTGGTTGTATAGTGATACAGCATTGATAACTCAGTGTTCGTTGCCTGATGTGATTGTCAAATGTAAAGAAGGGTTTACAGATGACCTCTGTAGCCTGGAAACTTTGGCTAATGACAGTTTCTATATATGCAGGTCTAGTTTTCCTCTTCAGGAAGAACTCTGTGCTTACACCAGGAGTTTGTTCACCCAGCAGTTTTTTAGACCCAAATGCGAAGGAGTGGCTAAGGAACAGCTTTTCCCCACCAGATCCAGTCCAGGCCCACGTCTCACAGCTGAAGGAGGACTGTGGGCAGCTCCCTCTGCCTTTATTTCTGTGGGAGCTCTGTGATTCTTAGAACTCCCCTGAGAGCTTTGGGTTATCAAGTGACCTTTGTTGCAGCTGCATTGCCTGTAGAATGGCTCATTTACCAAGCACAACAACACTCCTGTTTGGACAGGATTCCACTGCAACTCCATGCCTGACCTGGAGACCTTTGATATTTTGGCTGGCAGACTAGTTGCTTGTGCCCTGCTTGGTATTTTCCTGTAAAATCCAGGCAAGGTTTTTCTTTCTCCAAGAGACATTACCCTTCTTCCCACTCATTTTTGAGTCCAAGCAGCACTGAATACTTAGCAGATGAAAGGTCCACCCCTTCCTGCAGTGAGCACACAAACCCACAAGCCACCACTTCCCTGCCAGACAGCACAGCATTCCTGCTCAGGAGGTGTCTCTGAGGTCCTGCAGCTGGGCATATCTGCATTTCTATCTTTACTTCCCGAAAGGGACATTTTAAATGTACAGTGCAGCTGCATATTGTTAGCATTAACACAAGCAGGAGATGCCTAGGAGGCTGGGCTTCTTTGGGCTGGTACTCCCTGTGGATACTCACACTGCTTTCTGCCAGTTTCTGACTGCTGTTACCCAGGGGTGAGAAGCCGCATTGGAGGAATTTATGAATTGTTCTGATGGGAAGAGCACACTTGCCTTTTGATCTTGTTGATATCTACTACATGAAATTACATGGAATTTTCTTTTCCTCCTCTTTTTTAGAGAAAAGATTTAAGTAGACATGGAACTTGAAAGAATCATTAGAGAGACACTGACGTGCTTCATCCAGTCCCACATCCCTGCTGCAGACCTCAGGTATGTTGAGTATTGTTTTAGCTTGAACTCTGCATTAATTGTCCCTCTATACATTATGCTAAATTTCAAGTGCAACATTTGCAGTTTTCCTGCATTTTGTCTTGCTCTTCTTTAAGTCATATCCAGGATGCAGATAATTTGTACAGGTGTTGATGTAAATCCTTGAACTATGTTTCAGCATTACAGACTAGCAATGTCATTTCTTTGGTGACCAAGATGATTAATTTCCTGCCAAGTAGTACATGTTAGAATATGGAATTCCTTTCATCTACAACAATCCCAGAAGGCTTTCTAAGCAGTACACTGCTATGTCACAGCTCTCCCTGTTTTGAACTCTGCCTACATGTAGAGATACAGCTGCCTTGAGGCAGCCGGTTATGTAGCCACTGGCAGCAGTGATGCAAGTGGGTCAGCAGAGAACACTGCATCACATGGAAGCTGTAACTTGATAAAACATAATGACATCACCTAGAACACCAGACAACACAAAAATCAGGATTTGAGCACTTGGAATATTTTGGGTAGCTCAGCTGACATATCCTCAAGGGCACAGTATCTAGACAGATGCAGTGGCTTTCATTCAATCCTGCCTAGGAAGGTGAACCAAGCAAAGTTTTCTGGATTTATCCATGAATGCTTCCCATATAGGCACTTCTGCTGTTCTATTAGATGCAACAGAGGCAAACAGAGGTGGAGAGAAAGAATGTGGTCCTGTTGATGCTGCTTACTTGTGCCATGTTCTCTTTCTCCAGTGGGATGGATGAAGTTTTCTTCTCTTACATTACGGGTGTCCTGGAAGAGCTGGGTTCACCAGAGTCCTCTGAGGAAACCTTCGACATGGACACCTTTGTGGAAATGATGGAGGCATATATCCCTGGCTTTGCAGAAATTCAGAGGTGTGTTAATGCTACTGTTTTGTATGTGCATGCCACGCACTGAGGGCCTGGCCCAACCACATCAGCACCATGAATTCTTGTTTATATCCAGATTGTGATGTATTAGTACTGAACCTGTACCATTATGATTAAGCTAGGCTTTGTCTGAACGCACAAATCCTAATCCCAGGATAGTTAACAGCTTAAATACTTGGCTATCTGGAATGCTAGTTTTGGTAACTGGGCTTCCCATCAAGCCTCATATCTTTATAAAGAGTAAGTCAAGTGGGATAGGCTAGTGCTTTAATTCCTCACCCTAATTATTCAGCATCTGTCTCTTGCAGTGGGAATGTTTGTGAAATGATGTTCTCTCTCTCAGAAAGGCTTGGTGAAGCACGTAACAAAGGTGAGTTTCACCTTGAAACTGACTAAATTTACTGCTCTGCTCTAGTGTCTTGCATCCTACCCTTTAAGAATCCTGATGTAGCCTTTCAGATAGGTTAGAGAAGAGGTGAAATAATTCTTATAGTGACACAGAAAGAGCCTATAAAAAGAGATGCATCAGAGTAACCTGACCACAAGGCGTGCTGGGTTATACACAGCTTGGGAGCCACCAATGCGTTTTGCTAGATTTAAAATCAGAATAACATCTTGGTTCAAAGTTAGAGCAAACATCAGGAAATTCTTAGACACTTAATAACAATACCATAAATACCCACAGCCAAAATGTAAGAGGCCTGAGAATGCTAGAGTAGGACTGCTTGTGAAAAGCATGGGAATGCAGAGCTCAGACACTCCAGCATGTTAGCACTGCCTTCCTGCAGGTCAGTATGAGTAGTGCTGCAGCTATACTCACCAAAGGCAACAAGAACAGTAGTGCTTTCCACTGTCTTTTCATTTAAGAGAAGATTCACTTCAGCTGATAGTGCACTAACAGCCTCCTACTAACAGAAAGCACAGAGCTCTGTACTTAGTGGGGTTGATCCTCAGTAGATATCACTGTATCTTTAAGAAAAACCTAGCCAAAAAGCTGTGGAAAGCAGAACAGAAGTGCCCTCTGAAGACCTGACCAAAGGCCAGGAGCCTGGAGCTGGAGTCTGCAAAGATGAAAGGCTGTGCACACCTACAGACGGAGCTGGGGCCCAGGTATGTACATCTCACAGTGGAGCAGGGTGACAGAATCCCTAGCACTAGCCGACTGGTACCAACTAAGGCATTTTCTGGCTCCAAGGGGAACCACAAGCATAGGCTGTGACACAGCATTGTTGAAGCCTGCGATCACCCCATTGTATGACCTGAGCAAGACTGTGTTCAAGTGGAAAGTTATGTGCTGCCAGAAGAGCACAAGTTGTCACTCTGACTCATCCTTTCCAGTCCTGAGGCAGCAAGGCAGAAGAAAGCTTGTCTTAGCGCTCTTGGAGATCCTAGAGTGCAGTAAGGATGCCAGGAGCTAGCCAGGCTCCACCCCACTTCCCCCAGCTCCATTCACAGTTGAACTTGGTTACCGTTTATCTCCCTAGCTGTGATGCAGCATTTAGTGGTCATATCTGAGTGTCAGTTTTGAAGACATCCATCCCACCTTCAATGAGGTGTTCTATATACTGAGCTACACCACAGTGAGTCATTAGCACAGCAGTCCTGGTTCTGCAGCTCCATTCAGCATGACCCACACTGCAAGCATTGCAGCACTTAGTAAACCTCCCCCCAGCTCCTTACCTCAAGCTCTGCTTGCTGTTTCTTCAGTACTGGTGTTTTACTGCTCTGCAGTTCAATCATTCTGTCCATGCCCTTCTAGGAAATGCTGTTGCTGTGCTTCCTTCTGATGTAGCCAGAGGTCCCTGTGCTTAGGAGTGTCATCCCTTTGTGATCATAGAGAACCTTGCAGGGGAAGGAGTTCAAGCATTTGAGCCACAGTGCCCAGAAAATTTATTCCTAAGGAGATAAGTAGCAGAACCACACAGATGAACCAGGCCACAGAAAGCCTGTTTCAAAGAAGACTGAAATACAGGGAGAATAGATTAAGGGGTGCGTTCTCCTTGTGGATACAACGTCCTTTTAGCTTCAAGGAATTTATACTCACCTTTATAATGAGAGAGAGAGAGCCTTCAGCTAAAAGCAAGTTGAATTTCCCAACTTTGCAGTGATACTTCTGCTCTGCAAAATCAGATCTCTGTCTCTCTTGCTCCAACTAGGCAGGCGATGACTTGAAGGGTGGTGTGGAGCTGCTACTGGAGATGTTCCCAGCCTGTACTGTAAGCCAGGCAGAGAAGGCACTAGCGATGGCCCTGGGTAACTTGGAAGAAGCAGTGCAGTTAATTGTGGAAGAGAAGGTGGAAATCGGCACAGCAGGTGCAAGTGTGAAGGTACTGTACTCTGAGCTGGGTGGCACCAGGTCAGTGAGCAGAGCTTAAATACATATATTCCAGCTGGAATAGGAAGTGAGTGCAGGAGCTTTCTACACTTCCAGCAATATACCAGAAAGATCCAAAATGATGCCCCCCTCTCCCTCAGCTCTCCAAGCACAGGCTGTGCCTACACCAAGCCAGCAGCCCAGAGGAGCTGTGTCTGGCACTTCACTTCCCCCATGAGCTGGTAGTACTGCATCAGTAGCTGGGCTTAGCTGAGCGAGCAGGGCAGCTGTGCACCCTCTATGTTCTGCTTCTCAAACACCTGCTTTGTTTCTTCACAGGAGCTGGTGCGGCCCCGCAGAGCACCCAACCATGAGGAACTAAAGCAGGTTATCTTACAGAAGTAAGTACTCAGAAAAGAAGAATTTGGATAGTGAAGGAGTTAGCAGTTTGTGAAAAGGTATGGTGGCAGAATAACAACATGGTCTATGAAGATCTTGGACTGTATGATGTTTGGAAAGGATGCTGTGTGAAGCTTATCTGGGTATATCTGAAACACATTCAAGCACAAGTGTAATGATTAGACAGGAAAGCAGAATAGGTTTTCTTTTTACAGCTCTGGCACACAGCTTAGTTCCATCAGTGGGGTCAAAGCACTGGTTATGTGAGGTTTCAATCTATTACAGGTATACTGTAAATCACAGTGTTGTCATCTGAGGTCCCAGTTAAAGGTTCAAGGCACAAACATCATACTGCAGCTCAGGTAACACACGGTGCCTTGTAAGAACTACAGCAGCTCATTCATACCTCTAGCCTTGGAGACAGTCCAAATAAGTCTAAAGATACCTTTAAGAGACTGTACAGCAACAGAGATCAAATCTCAGTTGCTGAAGGTGCAAGTTCAGTGCATTTAAGGAAACCTCTCTGAAGTCTCCCTATGGACTTCTAGGGAATGAAGGTGGCTTTACATTGGTTTACCTTTATTCATTTCCGAACGCATTTAATTCTCAATAGACAACCCACAGTGTGGTTTAATCGATCCACTTTAAGATCTCAGCTTTCATGAATATCCTCCTGTGGGCACACAAATTCAATGCATCTATCCAATCATATTTTCCACCATTTTACTCCTTGAGGATGTAAACAACTGATGGTATAGGAAAGCAAAAGCAAAGCAGAATGCCATCCAGATAAAATTAACAATACCCGTCTGTGCCTGTTTCCATTGCGGGCTTGCTTCAGAATAAAATGTATGGGAACAAAATAAAAAAAGCCAACACCAGCTGATAGTTAAGTTCCTAGGAACTTTAATGACATTTTGGCAATATCCTGTACTTTAAACATCACTCAAGCACAGGTACAAAGAGCAGATCGCCATAGCTGAAAATACACAGGAACAACTATGCTAAGTACCGAGGGAGAAGTTGTGGTCAGCTGTGCTGTCCACCTACAGACCGGCTCTGAAGTCTCAATGCTAATTCAGCAGTACGGCAAGCAAATGCTTGGGCTCTGGTGTTCCTTTTAAATAGGGAGTGAGATGATGCTTCTGTTAAGCTGCTTCCAGCTCAAACTCGACTCCTCGTCAAGTAGCACATAGAGTGTGAAAGGCATACCATCTCTTCAGGGCAGAAGAGATTTGGCCCTGTGGCCTCTTCCTTTGGCTGCCATCACACCAAGTGAAAAGGAGCAAAGTTGTCTTAATGGCAAAGCATGCCGACCTCAGCACCTCCCTCAGTTTTAAGGAAGCTATCTGCTTTCTCAGCAGCCTAAGGTTTTGATACCATTCATATGGCCAGCTATTCCATGAGAATTCTCCTGAATTCTCATCAGAAGGGTGACGCTCTTCTTACCTATTTCATTCAGTAGGGAATCTTAAGTGCTGCTAACTGCAGTCTACGCAAGTAGGACACATTGCACAGCCCCAAACCAGACAGGAAATTAGAGATAAAGGCTGTGAATAGCACTAGGCAATGCATGTTGCAGTGTTCACTTACTGCATCTTGTGTTTCAGATATATGATGGTGGATAGTGCAGAAGATCAGAAAACACATCGACCCGCTCCACCGAAAGAGGTGAGAATAGTGCAGTTCCAGCTCACCAGGAGTTTGAATGCCTTTGGCTGCAAGGTTTAAAGAGCAGGCTGCACATCTAAATAGCAGCATAACACACAAGGGAATTTGCAGCAGTAGTCTCAAAGGAGAACTAGTCAGCTAAGAGGTGCTACTGCAGGGTCTGTGATTATCTGGCACTCCTGACTAGCACTGTTCCTGCTCCCTCCAGCTTTTCCCCTCTGCCCCCTCCTCAGACCGCTTTCTTCCCATTTTTAGCTAAGACTCCCAACATAAAGGACAGGTACTCATCCCAACCTAGTCTTTTCCCTTATTCACCAAGCACAAGCTTACGCTTGTCGCCCTTATGTGATGTTTATGTCTTTCCAGGCTCCCAAGAAGCTGATCCGCTACATCGATAACCAGGTGGTGAGTACGAAGGGAGAGAGGTACAAAGACATAAAGAAGCCAGAAAGTGAGGAGATGAAGAAAACTTACATCAGCCTCAAACCAGCCAGGAAGTACAAGTTCCACTGACGGCCGTGTTCTCTCTTCCCCTGCTCTTCAGCCTCCACCACACTGGCCAGGTGTGGAGGATGGACATGCAGCACTGGGGATGAAGGGACTCCCCTACCCAACACTAACTGGAACTAACCTAGGAGCCAGGACACTGCTTTCAGCTTCCTGAACTAACCTAGCTGATAAGGTCAAGTCTCCTCTCCTTGTGTAGCTGCGCTTCTGCCCCTGGGGCACTCCATAATGGTTGTTGGGAGCCTGGGCGTTCTCTGCTATTCCTTGCACGGGACTTTAGATCTAAAAATGTAGCTTGTGGTTTTGCAGCAAGCTTTTTAGAAATCTCTGTGCACTGTTGCTTTGAGTGCAAGTGTTAATAAAGGTGATGTGAGTTGGTGTGTATTTCAGCTGAAGCATGCACATGCTTTACAGACCTTGCCTCTGATCCCTCTTCAAGGAGCAGGGTCGTCTCCTAATCACTACCTTCATCTTGCTTACTACAAGTAGCTACTCTTTGACTGACCACTTATTAGATGCAGATGATGAGGCTAGACTCTAAACAAGAGCTGGGCTCTCCCTGCCAGCACAACCTGCAGCACTCCATGAACTCCAGCTGACAGTATGGCCAGGTCATTTGGCAATTGCCATTTCTAGCTGCTATTGTATATTGTATATTGTATAGCAAGCCTACAGCTGTGCAACATGGAGCAGGATGTAGGAGCAGGTCTGCGTACTACAGAGATGTAAATCATAATCTGGAAGAAACAAATAGCAAGAACCAACAGCTCTCAGCAATAGCACAATGAGGTTTGGTGCTTTTCCTCTACTGGAATTGCAGTTAGGAGCATATTCCCCTGGAAAACAATTACTGTCTTGTGCTAACCCAGTGCCTATAGCAGGGTGCTAGGTCTGCACATGTACGCTGGGCTCACACTGCCTTCCTCCCAGAGCTCACCTGCCAGAATGAGGGCTGCCAGTTTTTCTCCTTACTACTCCAGCTAGTGTGGATTGTTCTCAACAGCAATGCTGGCGTGTCCTACACAAGTTCCTCAGAAGGTGACAGTCCACGGTCCTCAAACATTCTCCTGCTCTTTGGAGAACTGCAACTTCGAAATTTAAAATATGACAAATAATAAATCCTGTGTATTAGCTGGTCTGTTCAGCACTATGGTGTTCCTGCAAGTTCCTCACTGTCTTCACTCTGCTTCAGAGGGAGTTTCTTCTCCAGGAGGCACACACAGAGCTCACTCACAAATGTGCAGTGGCTGTTAAATAGCCCCAGAGAGAAGAGTGAGCCCCTTTTGGACCAGCCTCACCAACAGGATCGACTTCTCCCTCTGCACATCTCAGCAGGAACCAGTTCCAGCGTCCACCAGGGATCTCAGTGACATGTTGCCCCCTCCCCCACCCCCCAATAGCAGCAGCAGTTCTAGATCTGGAGGTTAATGAAAGGGGCAAAGCCAGCCATGTCCTGCAGGAGAACAAGAGCCGTCTGCGGCAGAGGCTCCACATCCAGCTCCACTCCACGGTTTCGGAGAACGCTCAGGCTGGACTCAGCCACATTGTGGCAATGCTTCACCTTCAGCGAGCGCAGCTTGGGACAGTACTCAGCCAGAACCCTGACAAGACAGAGCACATGCAAGTTGCATGCCAGACTCCCATATGCATAACTCGTCAGCATAACCTCTTTTCCGCTCCCAGCAGCCACACACACACCATCCTTTGAAAACAACACCATGGTGGTCCAAGAGAATCAAAAGGACATGGTCAGGTACCTTCCACAACATGCTGGGAAATTTGCTTTCAGTAGCACAGAGGGCCTGCTAGTGGCTCTGCTGCAAGACTCCCCTCCCAAGGTCTCGTCTGCCCACCCTGGACACCTGCCTTCCGCACCCTACTTCCCACATCGTTCAATACCTTATAGAGTCATTCTTGACTCGCAGACACCCCGTGAGGTCCAGGTGTTCCAGCTCAGGACAGCACTTGGCAGTCTCCTCTACTGCCACATCGCCTACGTTGGCATTGACAGCTAGAGAGAGAGACTTGAGCCTGCTGCACTTCTGCACCAGGTAGCAGATGGCCTCATCCTTCAGCTGCCGGCAGGCCGTCAGATCCACAGCTTCCAGCGCCTTGCAGTGGTCGGCCAGGCTGCGCAAGGACAGGCTGTCCACCCACTCACAGTGAGCCAGGGAGAGCCGCCGCAGGTTGGGGCAGTTCAGCGAGATGACCATCAGTGCGTGGCAGCTGAGCTGGGCACAGCCCTTCAGCTGAATGTGGTGCAGGTGGTGGTTCTGCATGATGACTGGGAGCAGCTCCCCATCCGTCAGCCAGTCAGAGCAGTTCTGGAGCGCCAGCTGCTGCAGCACTTTGTTGTCCTTCAGCAGGTTGAGGAAAGCATCTCTAGGGACGGCCGAGCCAATCTGCACGGGGAACCCAGTAACAGTGAGGCATCCTCAGGGACCTCAGATTGGCATGGCTCAGCCTAATACTTCCCAGAGTCCCATTCCCTTCTTCTTTTCCACTGTGACACAAAGGTGACCAAAGCCACCCTCTCCCAGTCCTAGAGCAAACCGTCACCTAGCTCTTCTCCACAGAGCACCTCATGTCAAGGCTGCTGCCACAAGCTGGGAGATACTCTCTCCTCCTTCACCATCTCTGCATTTATACATCTACAAGAAGCTCTTCAAAACCTCTATGGCAGACCACTGGGTCTTCACAGAGCAGTAGCCACCACTGCACAGGTCCCAGACAATGTTTCCCAGAATGAGCACAAGCTATCCCTCATCTCCTGCTAAACCCATTCCACTGCATAACCCCTGGTGACAGTCATCAGGCCATGCCACCTTGAAGCTGGCTTCATTTCCATGAGCCACTGCCCCATAATGGTCTAGGTGGAGTTTCCAGGCTCACTCCTCCCCACGCCTCTCACTAAAGGCAGAAGTGGCATTGCTGGGCCCTGAATCATCACCCCTCCTCCCCAAGCCCATCTGCCCAGCCAGACACACAAGCCACCAGCCCAAGCTCGCAAGCAGAAACCTCACTGTCCCCTCGCAGCCAGGTTTTCCCACGTCAGCACACTGACAGCTCCCCAGCCCCAGAGCCACCCCATACCTGGCTGGAGTCAAAGCATCGCATGTTGGCCAGGTACAGCTGGACAAGAGCCTGGAACGCCTTGCTGACCCTCTGCAGGCCCAGGAGCTGCTGCAGCGGCAGATGACAGAGAATATGTGGGACCAAGATGTCCTCCCAGGGCAGGTCCAGGAGGCATCCCCTCGAAGGGGTCAAACTCATCGTCGGCCGCCAGGGAGCCAGGCTGTGGGGGAGCCAGTCGACGCCACCCCGCAGCTATAGCCGGGCGTCTCTGGGAGGAACGGACGGAGGGAAACACTCAGCGGCGTCCCTCACAGCTAAGCCCAAAGGTCGAGAAGCAGCAACGGAGTGGGCAACCACCTTCCGGGGCGCCGGCTCCCAGCGCGGCAGCTCACGGCTCCGACGCGCGTTCCCGGCCCGCAGCGCCCCGCGGCACGGCACCGCACCAGCTGCCCGAGGAGCCCCGGCCCCAGCAGTCCACTCTGGAGCCTGCGCTGGGACCGCACCCGGCTCCTGCGCCGAGCAGCTCCGCCCCGCGATAACTCCGCTGCACTCCGGCCCTGCGGCATTCGGCGGAGCGAGAGGCCGCCCCGCAGGGCAGCGCTGGGAGTCTCGCAGCACCCCGGCCCCGCTTCCAGCCCCGCGACGAGGGGATCTCGGATGAGGCAGTCCCGGGGGCCTACAGGCCCCGGGAAGAGGCGGTAACAGCGGCGGCCCGACATAAGCCTTCCCCCGCACCCTCAGCACCAAGAGCCGTCCCGGGACGCCCAGTCTTGGTCCGGCCCCGCCACAGTACCTGCGGACCCAGCGGGACTCCCTCGGAACTCCAAGCACACTGGCTGCACCCGAACGGGCCTCCTGCTGTCCACCGGTTCCCGCAGTGACGTCCTACCACCACTGCCCCGCCCCCTGACGCCATGCCCCGCCTCTCGGCGTCGTGCCCCTCCTCCAGCCCCCGCCCATGGCTGCCGGGAGGCGGGGCGGGAGCCCGCGGGCACGGTCCGGTGGGAGCGGGCCGATGCAGCCGCGCACAAGTGCTCCAGGTGCCGGCCGTCCCCGTGCCCAGCTCACAGCAGCAGCTCCAGCCTCGCAGCTGTCCCGGTTCCCTTTCGGACGCCGGTACCCCAGGTCCCCATCGATCCCGCTCCCCACGGGCTAGCACGCCCGCTGCTCCGGCCCGGCGGCTACACGGTTCCCAGACGCACACCGCTCCCGGAGCCCCGCACCGCCCCGACTGGCGGCCCCCACGCACGCCCCTGCCCCTAGCGGGCGGCCGTGCGCATGCGCGGCGCTGGGCGCTGTCCGTTCAGCACCACGCGGAGCCGGGACCCGTTGGGAGCCGCCGCAGCCGGTGAGCGACGGCGCCGCCTCCGGGCCCCGGCCCCCGCCCCGGCCCCTCCTCTGGCCTCCGGGAGAGTCCGAGCCTCGGGCTTCTTCTTTTCTCGGCACCCAGACCCGCAGCCGCTGGGCCCGGCTTCTCCGCCTGGTGCCCGTACCGGTAGGACTTTGCCCACCGGCGCCGCCGCCCTCGCCTCGTCCCGCCCCGCCCTGTCCCCAGGGAGGAGCGGGTCCATGCCGCCGGCGGCCTCCGGGCCCGCGAAGAGGGGCCCGAGCCGCTCCCGTTGCCGTTGCCATAACAACTCCAGTGGGAACCGAAGCGGCTGTTCCCTTGCGGTCCCAAATTCTCCAGGAAGGAAGATCTTGCCTTCCCTTCACAGCCCGCTCATTGCTTACCAAGGAGGGTGGCTGGGGAAAGGTCTTTCTGCCTCAGTGCTGGCCCTATGGGCATGGATGGCACTGCTCTCACTGCAGGTTTGGGATCACTGCACCCAGGAGGTCCCACGTGCCACATCTCTTGGCTCTTCACTGACGATTGGCAGGGAACCCCTTGCTCTGCCTTGGAGGTGATGCCTGTATCTCCATTACTGCTGGCCTGTGCAGCTACCTTGGTGTCAGGAGCCCTGGCCAAGAGCCCTGGCTCGTGCCAAACTCACCAATCTGTGCTATGCTTGTGGTTCTCTCCAAGCAGCATGTATGTGGGGCTGGCAAGTGAGGCCACGCTGCTCCTGCTTCAACCTCTGCTGGTGTTTTTCACTCTGCTAGATGGGCTGGCTGAGTCACTTCCCAGGAGCCTGCTGGTGGCAGGGCTCAGAGCAGAGCTACACAGATGCAGTCTGAGTACCGCAGGATGTAACAGAGGCAGAAGTATGACTGAGTGTCCTTCCTTGGTCTCAGCTGCATGCCCTGGGCCTGTGGCAAAGGTGGGAGGAGGCCCAGAGGAGGCTTAGTGCCACTGGGTGTATGGGTGCTCCCAGGACTTACATCCTAGGGCAGTTAGCAGGCAGGTTCATCTGCACCTTCTGCCCATGGCACGTGGTATGAAGACACTAGGAAATGTGGACAGCTGGGAAATGCTTAGACTGTTCTGTTTCCTGTACACAGGCTGTTTGCAAGTGATGCAGTGCTGCCAGGAGATATGCTGAAGCACACCATCAAGATGTCCAACAGAGCTTCCTGCCTAGGCCTGCAGCAATGGTAGGTCCCACCCAGTATCTGTGGGGGTGTGCTGTATGTGGTACAGGTTGGGCCTTGGCTAAAACTCTCCCTGGGTCACTGGTGGCTCCCTGGGGTTGAAAGAGCAAGTGGGAAAGACTGTCTTGACTGCTTCTGGAGAACGAAAGGCCTGATGATTTTCTGACAGTACACAGTGGGCTGTGTGTCCTGCTATCCCCTTGGCATGGTGTGTGCCTGGTGTCATGCAGAGCTCCAGCTTCTGGGCTGGAGGCTGCCCTTGGCCAGGTGGCTGCCCTTAATCGGATGGGTGAAGTGAGCTGGGGGTGCTTCCTTTTCTTTGGAGGATTGCACCCTATGGTTCACCAGGCCCCTGCCCTTCACTTCTGTTCCCTATGTAAGATACCATTTTGGACACTCTGAAGCTTCCTGTTCAGCAGCAGTTCTGGGCTGAATGCCACGGTGCTTGCAGGACCACAGGGCTGTGTGTAGCACAGCTGAGTACAGTCCTTTAGTGGGTGACACGAGTGAGCTTGCTGTCACCCAGTGCTGCTGATGCCCTGCAAGGGGACAGCTTTCTGCGTCAGGCCTTGAGCTGATCCTGGTGACGAGGAGTGGGCTGAGCCAGGGGGAGGGAGCAGATTAGCTGACAATGGTCACTGCAGCTTTCCTGTGCCTCCCTTGTCAGCACACGGGTCTGGCTGCTGGGAGCCAGGCCTTGGGCTGATCCTGCCAGTGTCATCCTCATGGATGTCCTGCTGAAGCACACAAACATCAGCCAACTCTGCTGGTGTCTGTGTGTGAGGTGCCCAGCACAGTGGCATGCTCTTGATCTCATGTTTGGGACACTGGGGCCAGCAGGGAAGGAGACCTGTGGATAGGAGGGCTGCCCACAGGCCAGGAGCCCAGGCCTTGGTTCCCTGGTCTGTGGCGGAGCTTGGGCCAGTCCTTCCCCCTGTGACCCCTGGCTTGCTCTTGCACTGTTAATGCAGCTATTTCCATGTCAAAGGCATGCTCTGAGGATGGCAGAGCTTCCCAGGCCTGCTGAGGCTCAGGGTAGTCTGGGTGATGTGCTCTGTTGATAGGAGGCTGTTACAGGTTCTAAGATGGTCCCCTGATGTGGTGGCTGAGCACTTCACTAGCCAAGTGCCTGCAACCCTGCAAAGACTTTGGACTGTTCGCAGTTTTCTACCATAGACAATCTGAGTCTACAGTTAGGGTTAAAATGGTGAGATCTAAAGAAACCTGCAATCAAATCAAAGTAAAGCAAAGCCCAAGTGGGCAACTGGAAGACTGCCTGGTGTCTGGTCTGGATGCTCAGCTTTGTCACTACACCTGTAATTACTCCTCCTCATCTGATATTTCAGTTTCCACACTTTTCACAATTACGTGTGTGCCCACGCTCCCTCCCTGCTGTTAGGCAGCATACCTGGGGCTCGCCATCCCTCTTCTACAGCAAACAGTCCCTGCATCCACTGGCTGATCCTCTTTGCACCCTTTTGCCTTTCTCCATGTGAATCCAAAGAAGGAGAGAGGGCATCACTCCATACTGCTGCAATTGGAGAGCAGCTCCAAGGATCTGTGCCGTGTGCTGCCTGCTAGGAGCCCACACTAGTGACCTGCAGGGCTGCCTTTTTCAAGGCTAACCTCTCCTCCCTGCGGGTCTGAGCCTATCAGCTCACCACAGCACACACCCCACAACCAGACCCTGACAACTGCTTTTCTTCAAGACCGTCTTTTCCCTAAGCATCTTTTTTACCAAGAGATACTCCCACACAGTTGTTCCCTTAACTGCTGCGTAGGGAGATTATTTATGGCTCAAATTGTGCTGAGGCCCCACCTCCCACATTCCCAGGACAATTTCTACCATGATGGCGTTTTTGCCTTCGTCCTGATGGAGCAATGCTGGTGCAGGCAGGCACCCAGGGCCGTGTCCTCACCCACCCCCAGCCAGGTGAGTGCCCCCAAGCTGGAGAGCAGGAGGTGCCAGGGGATGACACATGTGCTCTGTGCTGCATGGGGCTGGATGGTGTGGTGAGTGTCAAGGCAGGGTGTCTGCACCATTTATCCATAACCAGTGCCTGGTGGGACAGCAGATAAGCGCAGCAGCCCATTAAAGGCTTGGTTTGTACTGCAGTGGGTTTTTAATATCTAGTGAGGATGCGGTTGGGTGTTGGCACAGAAGGGATTAATTAGAGCCATGTAGTTAAGTCTGGGCCTTGGGGGAACACAGCGACCTCAGCAGTTGCCTTGAGCACTCAGTTTGGAGATAAGAGGAACTCAGCTCCTCACTGGGAGCAGCCTCCTGTGGGACTGGGTTCAGCCCACCAGAAAGAAGCACCTGCCAGCGGGACATCCACATCTGCAGGGCTGTGCTATACTCTGGAGCCAAAGCACTGCCCTGCTGGCTTGGTCAGCAGCCTGAGCGCTCTGGGATGCGATGGGGGCCACAGCACGTGGATCTCTCCTGCCACTGGGCTCTGTGTGCTGGCTGGGACAGCCCAATGTCCTTGATGGTGCCTTGCAAGCACTACGGTCATGGTTGAGCCATCCTGGTGATAACTGGGTGCAGGAGGGACAGATGCAGCACTGGTCTGTGGAGGTGAGCAAGGACAAAGGCAGCAGCAGTTATGCAAAGTGCTGCTGGACACTGCCCAGGACTGGATCAGGCAGGGTCCAGGAGGTGGGACGGGGTGACGTGTGGCTAAGTGGGACCATGCAGGGTGATACGGTGTCTGTGTTCATGGACTGGAGGGGTCAAAGTGCCCAAAGGACAGCAAGCAGAGAGGGTAGAAAGCTGTGAGAAGGCAAGGGGGCACAGCAAAGCAGGAGGTGGAAGTGGGAAATGGCAGTGCTGGGAGGGCCCTGGTATGGGCATACTGGGGAGCTCGAAGCCCTTCCACTTGGTTAAATCTGACACTCCAGCACTGGCTTAGAGAAAAGCCTTCCCCCCACCCTGCTGCCATCAAAGAAGCTGCTGAAGGAATCAGGTCGTTGATCCCGTGGCTGTGAGGCCCCTAATTAGCCCAGCTCCGCTCCAGTCTGCCGAGGAAGCTGTCAGTGCAAGGCAGCTCGGGGACCCACAGTCCCCGGTGTGGGGGAGAGGGGCTGTGCAGGCAGCAGCCTGCAGGAGGAGGGGAGAAAATGGCAGTGCTTCTATGCATTAAAGATGAGCAGAGCGGACTGCTCCCTCCCCATGTCCCTACACCCAGGCAGGGACAAAAGGACACGCTTTCTGGGTGATAGCAAGGGCAGGCAGGCATGGAGCCGGACTCACTGCTGGTGGGGATTGCATCCAGAAGGGTGCTCTGCCTATGTTCCTCCTGCAGCACTGCATGCACAGGGGACACCCGCTCTCCTGGGCCTCTCCTCCTGCACGCCCATGGTAACAATTGCCAGGCTAGGTAATAAAGGACTGTTTAATACTGCATTGATCCAGCAGCCTGGGCAAGAGATGAGCGCTGCTGTCAGCTGCTGCTATGTATAGGCCTGGTGCTGGCAGCACAGTGGCCAAGACCCCAGCACCCACTGCCCCAGTAGGCAATGCATGGGATGGTTTTATTCCCCAGCATTGGTGCGGTTTTTTGACACCACAGTGGTATTTCCCACGGCTTGGGAAGCTTTTGGCCCCTTGTCTCTGCAGACTCCAAGCAGCGATGGTGCGCAGTGCACAGCAGCGTGGCAATGAGCAGGACACATTCCCACGGGAATGTGCCCACTGCTGCTCAGGGACGCACCTCCCGCGGCAGTGCTCACACCCACAGGTGCGTACCAACAGGTTCACGGTGGCACGTGGGGACAGGCACGACGGGACACGGAATGAGCACGGCGTTACCCAGGGACACGCTCACGGACGTAAGCACAGCGTCGCCCTGGGCATGAGGATGATCATGGTGTTACCGGAACGAGCACACGGACACGAGCGTGATGTCATCCCGGGGCACGCACAACGGGCCCGGCACGGTGCGGTCCGGCCGCCCCCGCCGCCGCGTGTCCCAGTGCCACCGGGCGGGGCGGGGCGCGGCGCCCTGCGGGAACTCCCATTGGTTGCCGGGGCTGTCAGCGGGGCGGAGTGACGGCCCCGCGCCGGGATTAGCGCGGCGGGGAGCGGCGGGCTGGGGCCGGAGGCACCGCACCGCACCGCGCCCGACGGGGCGTGCCGTGCCGTGCCGTGCCGTGCCGTGCCGTGCCGTGCCGTGCCGTGCCGTGCCGTGCCGTGCCAGCAGCAGCAGCAGCAGCAGCAGCAGCAGCAGCAGTTCGAAGCAGGATGCAGCGGCGGCAGTGGCAGTAAGGCGCGGGGAGCGGAGCGCTGCGGGGCCGGAGGCCGGAGCACCGCGGCGGGGGCACGGGGAAAGTTGCGGCACTTGCTGCGGGCCGGAACGGGTGGGAGCCGGGCGTCCGCATTGAGCAGCTGTGCGGAGCTGCGGGGGCAGCGGTACGTGTCCGGGAGGAGGGCCGGGCGGGCTTCTGCTCATCCGACTGGCTGTCACATCCACTCAAGGCTGATCCCGAGCAGACGGAGGCGCGGGGCGAGACGGGCAGGGCAAGGGAAGAGGGAGGGGGCGCGGGTCCTTCCCCAGCCCAGGGGGGCACGTCCTCGCCTCGGCGATCCCTCTGTAAGGGGTGCTTCGCGGCCGCCACTTGTTTGTGCCCCGGCCACAGAGACTGCGGGCTCTCCTCCTGGGCGGCCGCTGTCCCCACGTTACTCTGTGTCCTTCGAGTGCGGAGGCTTCTCGAGGCCGTCCCCGCCGGACCGCAGCCCCCCCAGCCCGGCTGTCCCCGCGCGCAGTTGCCGCTGATGGCAGGGGACCCATGCCCGGCACGGCAGCACAACCCGTCCTGAGTTCAGCACCTTCCCTCTCTGTTCCGTTTCTTGCCTCTTCCCCGGCATCTTCCCGCAGCGTGCGCGCGTTGGCCCTACACACACCTCGCGTGGGTGTGCGCTTCCCCTGCAGCGTAAGCAGCGCCGGGCGTCTGCTGCTTCACCCGCGTTGCCCCGCTGAGCCGGGCAAGCGCTGGCACGGAGAGCAGCTCACGGCCGTGTCCCTCAGGAACAGCCCCGAGGCCAGGGGGAATCCCCGGCACCGCCTTGGTGCTCGGAGGGGACAGCCAGCAGTAGAGAGTGCCTTGGAGGGGCGAGATGTTATGTCGAACAAATGAAATTCCCGATAGATATGCAGCCCCTGCCTGCCACGCTGCTGCTCCTGAGTTGTCCCCTGTGACATGTGTCCTGTGCTGCCCGTGACTTCCCTGGGCGTGGGAGCTCCTGCCTCGCGGCAGCCTCCCTCAGGTGCCATCAGCACAACCATTCATCACAGCGGTGTAAAGAGCATCACTTTGATTCATAATTCAAATCGGCGAGCAGGAAGCCTCACTACGCCACTGATTTTTCATCTGTGTTGCATTTGTGCTTTTTACCTTTCATCGCTGAAGAAAGGCTTGCTCTGCTGGCTGGAAGGGCAGCCCTGCTCCAGAGGCTTGCAGGCGGGCATGACCTCTGCTCTGCATTTGATAATTCCCCTTTGATAAGGAGGAGGACATGCTGTGCTCATCCCGTTTATTTTAGCAGTAACTCGCCTGCATTGCGATGGGCTGTTTTTTATAGATTCCTTATGTTACAGTGCATGCCAACTACTTTCTAGTGATAACTTTTCTCCTTGGCATGTGTGTCAGTTTGTATTTAGATAAAAGTGGGGTTTAGCTTGAAATATATAACCCAGCATTTGTGTTATTTATCAGTTAAGCAACCTTGAACGGGAATACAACCATAACAGGAGAAAGAATTATAAAAACAGTAACTGACATCTTAAACGGGAGAGTATTTTTGTCAGGCAGTGGGTTATGGATTGCTGCTTGGTAGGAGCCACGTGTGCTGCAAGTGTAGTAGTGCAGATAGAGACGTCTGCCCCATGTGGGTGATTTTGGCTATGTTATTAAGAGTTATGTCTCTGCATCTCCTCAGCCTAAACACTGTTGAAAATCCAGTCCTGCGGCCTTCAGTTTAACCCTGTCTGGTTTGCTCTCGGCAGCTGGGAGAAGAAAACACACTTTCCCCCACTGATATTTGGGTTTTTGCTTTCAAGTGCTGAGATCTAAGTGCAGGAATTGGTACCTCTGCAACTCGTGGGGAACAAAAAGCCCTTCCTGCAAACCGGCAGCTCAGAGGACTCAGGAAAAGAGTCCACGAGTGAGATGTGCTGAGAGAGTAGAGCTGGCAGTGCTGCCTGCAGGGCCACCAGGCGCCATGTCCTCCCATCCTGCGCTGTGTCTCATTGCCCTGGGGTGATGGGTGTCCCGACGGGGTGTCCTGAGCTGTGCTGCTGGCTCAGGCATGCTCGGCCCCCAGGCAGGGCTGTCTCAGCTGCCTCTGTTTGGATCCACCGGTGCTGACAGCTCTGTCTGTGCCACAGATTGTGGCTGCAGCATGTGATGGGTGACACACTTTAAAACACAACCTGACCTCCAAAGAGACAGGCTTCATCCTTGGTCTGCTGGTATCAAATTCCTTCAGTCTGGGGATATCTCAGTGATCCCATATATCATTTTTTCCCCTTATGATATAGGGTGATATTAGGTGGCTACAGGTAGTAAAATATTCAGCCTAAATCAGGCTAAATGAAACTAATTTCAGTGTATACAGCATGTGCTCTCACTGCATCTGTATGCTGCTGGTCTGTGGAACAGTGCTGGACGAGCAAGGGGAGCCAGGGACAGCAGCACTCAGGCCACCTGTCCCCAGGCTCAGGCCAATCTCCAACCTACATCCACTTTCAAGCAACGTCATGGTATCTGCATTCCCCCATTTTTGCTCCCCTTCTCTAATAGCCTCTCCTTGCCCTCCAGGGCTGCCTGAGGATGCCTCACCCTGTCCAGCTCCAGCCCTGACACCTGTGCTCACCCCATCAGCATGGCGCAGGCGGGGAGTCTTGTACGCCTGCCCCCAGCCGAGGGCTGCACTGCCTCACCCACACCTTTCTCCCACCATGGGGACCGCAGGCCCTGGCCACCCATCTCCTCCAGCCCTGAACCAGGCCGGCACAGCCCCCCACGCTGCCTCACCCCCAACCTCAATGCTGGTCGCCTGCACCTCCTGCGCAAGGGCCTGGCCCCCGAGACCCACCGCTGCCCCCCTGGCCTCTACAACAGCACCGGCTCCTTGGCTCGCAAGCCAACAGAGATGGGGTCTTTTGGCAACGGGGGCTGCCCGGGTGGGGGGCGGCTGACAGCCCCCTGCACCCCGCGGAGGGGCCATCCTGCCCCAAGTTTCACCTCGCCCGGCAGCCGCAGCCCACTGGTGGCCCCAGAGGGACGCAGCTCCGTTGTCACCTTCCGCTTCATCGAGAAGGCCAGCGTGCGGCCCCTCAGCGGGCCCCAGGAGAATGGCCCCGCAGAGCCCGCTGGGGGCTGGCGTGTGCCACCTGGGCAGCCCCAGCCCCAGGAACAGCTGCTCCGCAGACTGAAGCTGGAGGCCTCTGCGTCTGACCCGCTCCTGGCTGGCTGCAGGTCCCCAGGGGAGACACGTCCCCACGAAGGCAGAAGGGATCCCCATTCTCTCACCACCAGCTGCCTCTTCGGCTCCCTCACCAATGGGCTGCAGGCCCCGCCACAGGACGTCCCCACCAGCCCCCGGCCCCAGGTAGGTGCCCGTGGCCCCACACTGCGCTGTGTCCAGCCCGGCCCCACTGACCACTGTGTCCCTGCAGGGCAGCGCCTGGCCGTGCCCCCGGCAGAGCTCAGCTCATGCCCAGCGTATCGCCCGTGCCAAGTGGGAGTTTTTCTATGGCTCGCTGGGTGCCCCGAAAACAGGTAAGGTGTCAGGCAGTGACACTGTGGGTATGCAGAGCTCCAACCCACTGGGATTTGGGATTGAACAGGGGCTCTGGGCTTTATTCCAGGCTCCTCAGCCTCCGACACTGAGCCTCCACTGCAGCCCAGCCACCCACTGCCTGCAGAGCCACCCAGCTCGCTTCCCAAGCATGGCCTGAGCCATGTGGAGGTGGAGATCGAGGTGTCCCCAGCAGGCAGCAAGGAGCAGGGCTCCTGTGAGACGGGCATCATTAGGAGGGCTGTGAAGTACTCCGAGACAGATCTGGACACCGTGCCGCTCCGCTGCTACCGCGAAACCAACATTGACGACATCCTGGCTGAGAGGGATGAGGTGGATTCTGCTATTGAAAGCCAGAAGGACAGCGAGAGCAACCCCAGCTTTGCAGGGACTCCAGGCAGGAGGGACAGCATGCCTGAAGGGAACCCTGAGCACGGTATCCCGAGCACAAAGGATGGAATGCATGACAGAAACGACAGAGACGCAGATGAGGACGACGAGGTGTTTGAGGCCACGATGAAAGAGAGCAGGGAAAGGTGAGGTTCAGCGTGGGAGGGCAGAGAGCTCCCCTCGCCCTCCTCGGTATCCCAAATGCGTGACAAAGGGGCTCTGCCAAACTAGAGCCCAAGCCGGAACCCTAGTAGCTGTGTCTGAGCCATGTGCAGTTGTTGCAGCGGTTATTCATTGTCCTGCAGGGCTGGGGGTCTCTCACTGCCCTGTGGAAGGAGCAGGGTGGTGCTGGTGTCCAGTGCAGAGCACTGCACCACAGGACCCATTCTGCTGGAGACAAGTCCTGTGATCTGATAGCCATATGAGCCTGGCACCCGGGACAATGCCATGGATCACTGAGTTGAAGGGAGTCCATTCACACTTATGTTTTGTGTTGTTTCTTGCTTGTGTGGCAAAATAGTCTGTACTAAAGTAGTGATGGGCCTCAGGTGGGACAAGAGCCTCTGCTCCATCTGCAAATGCTCTGCAGTGAAGGGAAAGGTGCTGCTGGGGAACAGAGTTGGGTGATTCCTCTGTGCTGGGACAGAGAGGTGCCTGGTAGTGTGCTCAAAAAAGGAGAAGGGGGGTTGGTGTTGGAGTGGGAAGAGAGGATGAAATAACCTGCAGTGGTACCCTGCAGTGGAGGGAGAAGCCCTGAGGTGGGCTGCCATGGATGGGAAGGTGCATGTTGCACAGGGAGCTGGGATCCTGCGGCTTTGCCAAGAGGGAAATACATTTTTTTCCCAAATGAATTATGATAGAGAATGTGAGCAAGCTTTGTAAGTCATATTATCACTCCAAGCAAGTTATTCAAGTTACTATAACAATTCTTTTACTTGGTGATAATTCATTTCCAAACACCTGGGGGTCCATTACACATCCATGGGCTGTAAACCTGCACCTACCTTCTGCCCTCCGGGACACTGTGCTGGAGCTCCCCAAGCATGGCCAGAAAGCTCAGGTGTGTACCTCACAGCATTGCTGCCCTCAACATGGTGCTCCTGGCATAATTACCAGGATGCATATGGTGGTGTCCTGCTCATTTTACACAGCTTCCTTGTTGACCGCTGGCTTTCAGGTTTTTTTGATGTGCAGACAGAGCCCTGGCTATTCCCAACGAGGCACAGACCCTGCTGACAGCAGTGCCAAAAATCAACAGACTGAAATAGCGAGTTGGTTCAGTGCCTGCATCACAGCCTGGGCTTTGCTTACACACTGCTTCAGAGGGAGCTCTGCAGCTGCAGTCCTCCCTCCCGTTTACCAGTCACCAGTATTGATGTTTTCTGCTTCAAGCTTTCTGCTTTGTCTGCTCACAGGAGGGGCGATGCGGTGATGCTGGGGTCATTAAAAGCTGCCCCATCTTCCAAGAGCTGGCGCTGCTTTGCTCCGCAGGAGCTGTTACAAACCAGAGGCTTCCATCCCAGCCAGTCCTTCGCTGCAGAGCACTTCCTTGGTAGATGGGAAGGAGCAGCTATGCAAAATTATTGAGACACCATCGGATGCTGATTTGCAGCATTTAGACATGTAAATCCCTTTGAAAATCTAGCCTTAGGGATTTAGCACCCTCTGCACGGGGAGACTGGCTCGGCACTACTTTGTTGCCCTTTATATTCTTGCCAAAGGGCACCTTCCTTGTCATCTCTTCGCCTAAAATAAGAGAACGTGCAGCAGAACATCAGGATGAAAAATCCGATACAAAATCAAACAAGATGTGGAAAGTGACATAAGAAACAGCGTCTTCTTCCAGAATCCACTCCCTGAAATATATTTAGAGCCGGCTCTACGGCTAATGACCAGTCTAAGCCTTTGCTGTCTTTATTCCCATTAGTCCCAGAGCACCGAGACCTGCCAGCGAGAGCGGGCTCCTCTCCCCCTTCTCGAGTGCCCCCGGGGGAGCACTAAGCCAGAGGCAGCGCTGCTGCGTGAGCCAGAGCCGGCTGTGCAGCACCGTACCCCGCTGCCCGGTGTGCGAGGGTTGGCTGCAGGCAGGAGCGCCTGTCCTCCCTGGGAGCAGAGCGCTGCCCAGCACAGCCCTCGGGTCTGCCGCCAGGGCAGCCTTCCCAGATGGGACACCGGCATGCGGACATGTGCTGGGGGACACAGGAGCCCCTTCCCCTCTGCCGATGTCCGGTTGTTCAGCCCCATGTGGTAACCAGAAGTGCTGGCTGAGTTGTCAGCATGTAACACAGCACGGTTATTGGTCTCTGGGATGTGTGTCCCCTACTTACCCACCTCGCTGGGTGCCCCCTGAAGCCCTCCACGTTCTGGTGCAGTGAGGCTGTCAGCTTGGAGCCTGCTGCAATAATCTGTAAGATTTCAGAGCAGGCTAATAAATGATAAATCACTCAGTGCTTGTAACAGCACTACATTTTCTGAGCCTTCTGCATGAAGCTGTTTGTTCATAACAAATGTTATGACAAGCTGGATCAGCTCTTCGCTTTTAATCAGGAAAGAGAGTGGCATAACAAGTGCATTTTTAGTGCTCTAATAAAGTGATAGCAGCTTGTGAGTGAAACAGGCTTTTAGGGTTGTGTTTGTGCTTATAGGACTGAAGGGTTGACACTGTATTGGAAATATCCCTGTGTCACATGCTCAGACTGATGGGCAGGCTCATCTCCAGGATGAAATGCTCAGGGGTTTGAGATGCAGGATGTCCCGTGTTGGGCTGGACACAGAGCTGTGCCACAGACCAGCTGAGCCTCCTGCAGGGTGATCTGTGCCCAGAGGTTTGCCAGAGCTCAGAGAGCACAGTGCTTTGGCAGGGGGGAGGTGAACCAGTCTGAAGGCAGCTCAGTCCCTTACAGGTGCTCTCACTACCATCAGGCCATCCTGCTCTTTCCTCCTCCTTCAAAACAAGCGTGGGGAGCTGCTGCTTATGCTGACCTTGCAGGTGGGCTCGGCTCAGTGACCATGGTGTCACATATGCAGAAGGTGTCAGGCTGTCCTCGGTGGCTCCAGGAGAGCTGTGGGTGCCAGGAGCTCTGAAGGCATATGGAAAATTCAGGCACTTGTGGATTTGTTTGGCAGTGGAGCTGAACTACATCCAGTTTTTGGTGCCTGAGCTGTTTATTGGATCTAAACTCAAGCCAAGTGGCTGGGAGCAGTAGCCATCTCATAAGCTTCTTAGGAGGATGAGCCACTAAGGGAACAAAAGTCCATGGCGCATTAAAAGAGAGGCATATGGCTGGAGGGAGGCCAGCACGACCCTCTTTCCATGATGTCCTGGATAGGCAAGGCGTTTCTTTTAGAGGCCTGGTGTACTCAGATATTCAGAGGAGACTTCTGCCCTCCCTGCTTTCCTTCTGGAGCAGTGCACAGGCTTTTGTTTGGGGCTTCGACCTCTTGCTCCTCAGTGACCAGTTCCTCTTGCTTTCTTTCCCTCTAGGATCATGGATCGAGACACACAGGGTATGCTCAAGTCTCCAGTGCCCTTCCTGCTAGGGCACAGCCTCTCCAAGGATGGCATGGACTCTTTCAGCAAGCATTTTGAGAGCATCATGGAGTCCCATCGAGCCAAAGGCACATCTTACACCAGCCTGGACTCCATTGACATCCTCTCCTCCCCAGCCCACACTCATGGGACCTTTTTCACTTTTGATCTCCCAACCCTCACCCCAGAAGTACAGGGACAGATACGAGACAGTGTGAAGCTGATCGAGGAGAACTTTGCTCCTCTGGCTCACTTGGAGCCGGACTCTGGGACCAGTTCAGCCACCGATGCCCCCTGGACTGAGAGGGAGGAGGAGAGGGGGAGGCGAAGGAAGGGTGCTCGGCACAGCCCTTGCTGCTCAGAGGACAGCTTTGGTACTCCCTTGGCCTCCAACATGAGGTGAGTGACCAAAATTGCTTACCGCCCACCTGGACCACCATGGTTAAGCATCAACTCTAATCCTGTGCTGCATGTTTTGTAGCCACAGCCTAACCAGTGCTGCTGGGGAGCAGGGAAGTGGTCCAGGATGCTCAGCCTGACCTCTTCCAACCTGGATATATGTGAGACCATGTCCAGGCTGACACACTGCCTTTCTTGTACTCTTCCGTCTCCCAGCAAGGTCTTGGGCTGAGGCACTTAGGGTTCAGCCAGTTGGCAGGCAGCAGCTTTTCCCTTTTCTGGGGTGTGTTCACCTGGAGCATGATCAGGTCCAGTCCAGAATGCCACAACCGTCCTTGTGGCCCAACGTGGAGCTGATGGCTTTTGGGGAATTTGGCGTGTTGGTCACAGCAGTGCTGAGCTTCCCGCTTGTACTGTTTTCCCACAAGATCTCCTCTTGCCCAATGACATCTTGTGCAACACCAGAGGGTCCTGAACCCTTCCAGGCTTCCCCAGTGGGTCCTGGAAAGTGTTGGAAGGAAAGAACAGCTTGGCTTTCTCTTGGTTGTCCAACCAACCTGTGGTACTTCTGGCTGCAGCCTGTGTTATCCTGATAGGCTTAGCTTGGGGTGAGCATGTGGCGATCTGTGCTTTGTGTCACCTCTGGCACCTGTAGTCAAGAGAGGAGGGTGGGACATTGCATCTGCTGTGTAGTATTAGGATCATCCTGGGGACATTCTGGGGGAGAAGAGCTGATCTCTGGGCTGGGCTTCTTCTTTTTTGGGACACTGAGGACAGGGGCACAGTGGCACAGAGGCCAGGCAAGGTTTGTGCATAAAACGGGTGGTGCCCGAGTGGCACCAAGCAGCCGAGGGTGGCAGTTTCTAGCCATGGACGGTTGCTTGCTGGAGACAGACTCAGCTTCCTGTTCCTCTCTCAAGGCATAGGACCAAGATGGCTCCAGAGAAACCAAAGGACAGTGCATAACTCACTGCTCACAGGATGCCTCCTGCAGCAGCAGCAGCATTACAGGAGCATGGAAGGAGTTGTGGGGGTACCTGGTGCCAGGCTGGGGTCTGTGCTGGGAATGGGCTCTGTGGGCTGTGACTCCCAGCTCCCGTTGTGGCAGTGGTGGTGTGCAGCTCCTTGTGAGGCCAGGCAGCCTCAGCTCTTGCATCTTCATAGCCCAGACCAAGGCTCCTATATCCCTCAGCACACAACGTTCTGGGACCACACTTCAATCTTGAGCTTGCAGGCAGGAAGCATGCCAAGCTGCCAACGTGGTGAGCACTCCCCAGGCACCGGGTCTCTTTAGCCTGATCCAGTGTCCGTGTGTGAAGGGAAGCAGCAGCAGCACAAGTTGTGGCCCTGAGCTGGGAGACCGACCCTGGGACCACTGCATGTCCCTGGTACACTTCCCATGCTGCAACTCTAGGAGCCCTCTGCCCTGGTAGTTTGCATTAGCAATGGGAGATGGTCTGCTGCTGGGCTGCCCCACAGCGGACATCCTGCAGCAGCACCTCGAGCACAGAGCAGGGTTCCCAGTGGCCCTCATTCTGGGCCATGCTGCAGGGTCACCACTGTCACTGTATGGGAGGCTTTTGTCCCCACAGAGGTGACAGTGGCCCAGAGCAGGGTCAGAAGCAGGAGCAGGATGCTGTGCCACACTGGGGACGTTGGGTGCCTCTGGGGCTGGTGGTTCTGGTGAAAGAGTGAGGTAGGAACTGGGCTGCTCTTGGGTTGTCATTTTGCAATTACAGATCCAAATCCCAGGGCAGCCCCGGGGCAGGCACTGCATATTGAAGTGCATCAGCGCCAGAGAGAGACAGGCAAATGGTGCACCCTCGGGGTATGAGTGCCCTAAAATCCATGCGCTCAGCTTCCCTTGGCTCCTCAGGTTCCAGCTGGGACTCCTGAGCCAGCCATGGCTGTGCACCCCCAGGGACATTTGTTGTTGAGGGGGGGGCTGGTAATTGCTCCTCATCGCTGGACCAGGGCTGGTGTCTGTTCACCAGTGGGCTGAGCATGGGGAACCCGGCTGGCACTGGACAAACTGGACAGCGCGTGCCGTGAGAGCCACAGGGTGACGGGGCTGCTGTGTGTGTGATGTGGGAAGGCATGGGGAGAGGGCTAGCCATTGAGAATGGAAAGAGGGAGAAGCAAGGGGTGAGAGCACGGGAGACTGGGCACGAACGGAGAAGTAATTCTCTCCAGGCACAGCCTGCAGCGTTGCAGCGCGGGAAGGGTGGCGTTAAGGTGTGTGGGGTTGCTTACCCATATCGCTCTCCAGTGTCACGCTCTGCTGTGTCCGGGCGGCCACGGAGCAGCGCGGGGCCCAGCGTGGACGGCGGTGCCGGAGGCCCGGGGACGCGAGGCGAGCTGCCCGGCCCGCACATGCCACACACGTGCACGAGAGCGGCGGTGCGGCTCAGAATCCCGCGGCGGCAACGGGGCCAGGTGCCACCTGCGCGGCCCTGCGAGGCCCGGCGGGGGCGGGGGCGTGCGCGGGGACCGCGGGGACAGCGCGGCCGCTGGCGGCGGCGGTGAGGCGGGCGGCGATGGGGCGGGCGGTGCGGCGGTGCGGCACGGCACGGCACGGCACGGCACGGCACGGCACGGCCGGCGATGGAAGGGGCCGCGGCCGGGATGCG